ATATATATATACCTTTTCTTTCTCACTAGACTGTAAATTGCTTGAACAGCCATGACATTTATATTTATCTTTGCCACTATGCCTGGTACAGTGGTCGCTGATTAAATGCTTTTAAAATACACTGAGTTAATTTTCACACATTATAATATCAAGGCTCGTCAAGGCATTGTAATTACTGAGCTCATTCCTGAGATGAAAGAAAAGGAGTCTGTCTTAGATCCTATACCTCACAGCACTGACAGGATAACAGACACAGGGCAGGGAAAGATGAAAGCAGTCAGGACAGAAGAAACAGGAGCCCAGCCCAGACTTACTCTGTAGTCGCTCGAGGTCACGTAGAAGATGGGCAGGAATGCCAGCCAGATGATGCAGGTGGTGTACATGGTGAAGCCGATGAACTTGGCCTCGTTGAAGTTCTCGGGGCACTTCCTCGTCTTGAAGGCGTACACCGTGCACAGGATGACCAGGACCACGTCGTAGGCCAGAGAGATCAGCATGCTGGAGTCCCGCACGTTGCACTTCAGGATGACAGTCTCGCGCTTCTCGGGGAGGGTGTACCTCCTGGTGCCAGGGGCCTCAAGCACCAGCCACACAGACACCACCACGACTTGCACCAGAACGAGCCCCAGGCAGATGAAGACCTGAGAGCTGGGGCTGATGAATTTCGGCCTCTGTGCACCGTTCTTGACCCCGTCGAAGATGCGGGCGATGCAGTTTGTCTTGGTCAGCAGGGCAGAGTAACAGATGGCAAAGGAGGTCCCCAGCCCCAGCCGGCGCAGGGCGCAGATGATGGGCGACGGCTTGGCGATGAAGAAGAACGTCATGCAGTAGGACAGGCTGACCCCAAACAGCAGGATGTAGCAGAGCTCGCGGCCAGAGGCCTTGACCAAGGGCGTGTTGTTGTGCTTGATAAACACCGTTATGACCACACAGGTGCACAGGAAGCCCAGGCAGGCGATGGTGACGGGGCCGATGGCCCAGGCATCTTCCCACTTGATGTAGTCCTCAGGAAGATCAAAGCAGCCCGACAGGTCAGCCGAGGGCCAGCGCCCAGGCCCACAGTCCATGCAGGTGAACTCATCGGCCAGGTACTCGTAGTTCTCACAGGGGATGCAGATCCAGCAGCAGACGTCACCGGGCTGCATGCTCTTCATTTCATTGGGTGCACAGGGGTCGCTGCACTGGGACGTGGGGACTGAGTTGTGGGCCCAGTGGATGGAATCAACATCCAGGGACAAGGTCTCGGCCCAGTGGCCCACCTTCAGGTATGAGTATTTTCCACCTATGTCCTGGAAATTGAACACGTTGTATCGCCCCATTCCATCTCCAAAAGTGTCAAACTTGACGATGCTGTCTTCATCTTTATTTGGGACAAAAGGAGCTGTCGTATGCAGGATGAAAGAGGGGGAAAAAGAACACTGCTTAGGAGTCGTGTGTGTGATGGGTCAGTTACCCTGGGACACACACTTAGCAAGACTGAAGTAACGGAGGGTGCGGTCCCGAGGCCGACGGAATTCACCAGGTACCCCTGAAAGTACCCATCCAGCGCTTGGCGGTACTCATGCACTCACAGATTCCCTCACTCGGCACTACAGAGCGAGTCAGGCGCGCCAAGTGCCAGAGATAGAGTGCAAAGCGGGCAGCACAGGGCTCATCCTGAAAGCCTGCGGTCCTGGCGTGTGTGCAAATGCCTTCTCCTGAAAGAGCCACGCAGAGGTGGCTCAATTTCAGGGTCATTGATTATTTATTTTTGTGTAGTCATGAACATGCTCCTCATTTATTTTCACAAAAATGTAAAGTTAAGAAGACTTTTGCTCATTATAGATGCATCATGTACTTCTTTTAAATAGTTCTGATCCCTCAAATTTAAAAATTGAAAATCCTTCCTACTCCTTCAACTCTGAGTTTGAATGTCTGGAGTATATTCATTCTGACTATGCATACTCTTGCATCCATACCTAGCACACTCTTTTCTGTGCTACCGACCCTATGTAGCACATAGGTGAGCATGCATGAAAGTTTGGACCCAAGGGCACTGGGAAAGTGGCCTTCTTCAGCCTGCTCTTGTCCTGTGCCCACGGTTCCCAGAGCAGCAGGCCCCTGAGAGTCTGCGCTTCCTCCTTCTGGTCGCAGCTCCCAGGTCTCTCTGGGCACTGTCTACTCCCAGCCCCATCACCTTTTGGTGTGTTAAGATTCTCCAGCACAGTTTATCCTTCTTACATCTCAGCTTGCGTTTATAAGAAATACTGCATCTGAGCCACAGTGCTCTGGAGAGAGGCCGTGAGCTCCCTGAGGGCCAGCCCGCCCTCCTGGCCTCATTGGGGCCGCTCTCAGTCTCTCAGCCCTTCCTCTGTGCTGTCCTCAGGGTGTGGCCTTCCCGAGTTCCACACACCACTCAGTGAGCTCCCTATTTCACTCCACCAGCCGGTGGCTATTCCCTGTGACAAGGGCACACATGACCTCATGGCAGCCTTGCCAGTGCAGGCACCAGCAGGATCCACAGGGAAGCCTGGAGCATGCTGCAGTTTGCATGTGATACATGTGGAAAGATATTTCATAGGTGATGCCAGACAATGCTCCAGTCAACAGAGCACGAATCTTCACCCATAGCTCTTAACTTCTGCCCAAACTGATTCTGAAAGGATCTCAGTCTTATATGTGAAAAATAAAATCATAGAGGTTCTGGAAATAAATTTTACACTACTGAAAATACAGAAACTGTTCTAACACCAACTGTATGAATTTAAAGAGAATTCCAAGGAACAACCACCTAAGTAGCACAGGAGCACAAGCAATAGCCAGTACTGTCAACTAGGGATAGAACTGCAGACAAGGGGTACATTTCTAACTCATGAAGGAGCCAGCAGCCCGACTGGAAAATTAGCAAAGGATAGGAACAGGTATTTCTCCAAAAAGGAAAAGTCAAGTGGTTCTGAAACACATGAGAATATGCTCGACATTGGTCACAATATAGAAAAGTGCAAACTTTCAGAGGCAGAATAATCATCTTTCAAGACATCCAAGGTCCAGTCTCTGAGAAGGCGGAATGTCATGACAGCAGAGAGGAACTGAGGCTGCAGATGGAATCAGAGCTCCCAACTGTCTCCGAGAGCCCAGAGCGGCTCACCGGGCCTTCTCTGTGCAAGACAGCAGCAGAGCACCGGTCACAGCGAGGCGGGGAAGGCTCCCCAGTGCCCCCGGCTCTGAGTGCGTGGGTATGGGCGCAGAAGAAGCAAGGACACCTCATCCCTGGGCCACCTCAGTGCTGCAGACACTGCCTTTTCAGCCTTTTCACCCAGTCAGACCGTGCTGAACCTCACAGTGCCAGAACTGGGAGGTAATAAACACATCTGTGCTGTCAGCCACCAAGTCTGTACCGATCTGTTACAGCAGCAAAAGGGAACCAATCCACACCTATCACTGTTCTGCTTGCATCCTGTCACGGTGGCTGTAGGGAAGCAAGGACCTTTTCAGCCTGCTTTTGAGTGTGTAAGTTGTACATGCCTAAGGGGGGCACTTTGACAAATTCTTCGAAATTACAGATGCGTGTAACGTTTGACTTAGCAATTTCAACTTGTGGAATGCATTTTCAGATGGATTTGCCTGTGTATAAATGATATTTTTAATGTCGTTTACTGAAGGATTGCTTGGAACAAAAAACCTAGTTGTCAGTAGGGTTGGTGAATAATAAAGTGGAATGTGGTGTATCTGTGAAAAGAATGAGGCATTGTTCTTTGCACCCTGTATTTTAGACATGTTAGAAAACCTAAAAGCCACATTGCTGTGTGTGGGAAAAACAAGATGTTTAATAAGATATCTTTGCCATAAATTGTGAAAATAAACAACCTGCTTTTTTTTCCTGTGCAGAGAGAAACTCTGGAAAGAACTCTTGAGAGTACAGTTTAACTGTAAGCAAGAGACAGGAAATGCACAGGGCAGTGAAGGCAGGACAGAAATATTTACCAGGTGCTTTCATGCTTTCTGCATTTTGAAGCATGTGAATGTTTCAGTCATCAAAAATGAAATTATTAAGAAGCAAAACCATAGATTGACCATCTAAGAAAACCAGACACTTGGATAAGGTCTAGCCTGCATGAGAGACACTGAAAAAATAACAGAAAGGAGCTGAGGTAAAAGGTGGGCACTGAAGTGAGTGAAACCAAAAGCTTCACAACATTTGTGTGCTCTCAGAGACCCAGGAAGACACCGTCTCTTGGAGACGGGAGCAGGGCAGGCTCCAAAGGAGTTGGGACTGAGTTCCTGGAAAGAGAAGGCAGAAGAGGAAGTTAAGGCGAAGCCTCACAGTCTCTTTAAATGCAGGGAGAGGAGTAGGAAATATACCGGGGAAAGATCACTCTGGAGCTTCAGCGTTCAACCAGCAGGCACTCCAGGAAAGCAGGAGGAGGGAGGAGAACCCTGGGGAGGAGCAGCCCGCAGGAGAGGCGGGGCTCTCACTCTGGGAAATGTGCTGCGTTCTCCTCAAATTCTGTGCAGGGAGTATTTTGATAAAAATAAAGGAATTACAAAGTTTAAATATGAATAACTGAGCGAGGTCAGGCAGGACAGCTTATAAGGTAAATAAGTTGTGGAAGTGATACTCCGTAAATGTTACAGTGTCTGAAAAGTGGACAGTGAATAAACAAATCATTCTTTTGATGGAATTTCTTTATTTTAAATAAAACTTCACCTTTTACTAAATTGTTAAGTTGTGTGGCATGTAAGTGAAACAGTGTGATTTACGTCTAAATCCTTTAAATTCATGAAGTGCACTGACGTACTTGAGAGGAGTAGATTACAAATTCTAAACGAGTATTTCTTGTGAGGAGGAAGGCCCTGATTCTTTGTTGGAATAGGGCTGTGTGTCTGCACCAGAGAGAAAACAAAGGAAAGGAAAACCTAGAAGAAAAGGGTGAACTGTATTTGTGAAACATTCCAAAAGGGAGAATGCTCTTTTTCTTTTTCAGTACTGGGAATGGAACCCAGGGCCTTTGCACTGAGTGACATTCCCAGCACCCCCACCCTTTTCTTACCTTTTACCTCACAACAGCCTCTAAGTCATTCAATTGCCCAGGCTGAGCGTGAACTTGTGATCCACCTGTCTCAGCCTCCCAGAGTGCTGGGGTCATGATGTGCACCACCACGCCCAGCCAGGATGCGGCTGTTACTGAGGGATGATGCCAAACACAACAGAGGTCCGGGCAGTGACGGGACGGCTGAGGAAAGCAAGCTCCGTGAGGCCCAGGGACTGTGAGAGGCAGAGCAGCTGAGGGCTGGGGGCGCTGATGCTGCTGCCCTCTGGATGTGCTTGGAGTCACCCTGGCCGAATGGCGTGCTGGGGAAATAGCTGCGGCCAAGGGAGCGGAGCACTGATGCTCAGGCATCACCACAGGGTTCTCCAGTGTGGGGGCCGCCAGCGCTTGCTGTTTCTCATGCTGGACTTCACAAGGGAGCAGGGTTAACGGAGATGGAAAAATAAATCATTGTAGCTTTGAAAGACTGGTACTGCAGTACCAAAAAGGACACAAACTAAAAGGAGGAAAACAAGAACCACCAGTAAGTTAGCAGAACTTTAAAAAGGACATAGAATCTTCTCCAGAATCTAACTTCAAGCTCCTCATCACTCCAATGCCTCAAAACCAGGGCCGCCTCTTCAGAAGGAGGCCATCCGTGCATAGGGCAAGAGAACGGTTTCTCAGGGTAGCTCACAATCCAATCGGTGCTGACCCAGTTTCAAATGGATTTACATTTGAAACATTTAATGCTAGGAACACCAGCCCTCCTGGCCCATTTGGTGGAGAGAAGTCAAGTCCAACCTTTAAATACCATAACTCAATCACAGGAGGAAATTAAACAGCCTCTTTCCTTTTTTTTTTTTTCATTCTGCTTGGACAGAAGTCCAGTTAAGGAAAGATAGGAACACAGCAGGAAAGAGGCCCTGAGGAAAGGGGATGGGGCCTGCACTGCCCAGGCCACATTCATGAACACTCATGAAGACTGCACTGCTGGCCTCACTGAGTTCCTGCATGCATCTGAGGAGCTGCAGTGAAAACACAGATGAGAAGACAGAAGACAGCACCGCCCTGGGAAGAGGTCAAGAGGTGAAGGAACCAAGATCTGGCTACAATGAACAAAACTGTGTACAAACATCATGCAGCCCAAAGAGGAAATGACAAGAGCGAATCCCTGCCTGTCACAGCCTGTGGTCAGGACAAGACCACGGCGGCCTTTCTTTCTGTTCCCATCTGAGTGGTCAGCAGCTGGACAGTGCACTGCTCAGATCTCTTGGGACTTGTCCTCACGTGAAGACTGCTCAGCAAGGACCCCGCAGGCCCAGAGAAGGGGCCTGTGTGGGAAGCAAAAAGCAAGGATGGCATGTTATGC